GAGAGAGAGAGAGAGAGAGAGAGAGAGAGCGCCGCATTTCGCGGACCATAGTTTTTACGACGAGAATTACGTCGAGAACTCGCAGTTGATTCTCTTTCTCGTGGTAGAAAACTTTTTCTTTTTCAATTTTTGTGCAACACACAGTACGCCAGATATATCTAGCGCACACATCGCGTTTCGTCAAAGTGACAAATCGATAATTTCGTCAGACCGTCGAGTCCATCGAAGTTAACCATTAACACGCTGGCTCGCATACGCGAGGATACGTTTACGAGGTGCTTCCTGGCGGCGTCATTTCGATTATACGATAGGCGTTTATCGCGCCTGGATCGTGCACGTCGCTGCACACGAGCGATCACGAATGCGCGCGATACCCAGATACTTATGTCCGACGTAGCGCACAGAGGAGTATCGCCTAAATGATAACAAGGGCTTGTCGCATATCTTAGAGCATATACATTAGAGCCATACCTACTGTATCATCTGGCTAGTAACATATTCCTGAGGTCGCATAGAGACAAAAATGCTAATTCCAAAATGTGGACAGTTTTCATTACAACAGTTTTCAAATTGGCATTTAACGATAACCAGGTCGAATTCCTGAAATCATTTAGAGACGAAAATTCTATGCCAAAATGTTGAGACCACAATAGTTTTCAAATGGCAGGCTATTTAAAGGCCACGAATTTTTAATAACTGGCTTTAAATAACCAATTGTTCAAAACTCGTGATTGACTTTCAAATAGCTTGCCGTTTGTAAACTATTGTAGTCTCAACATTTTGGTACTAGAATTTTCGTTTCTAATTGACTTCAGGAATCTGTTATTAGCAGGTGATGCGATAAGCCTGCGACGTCCTGTATATGTTCTGAGAACGTCGGGAAGTCTTTCGTATTGACAGCGCGTTTTAACTACACGGAAAGAACGATTTTGCTGGAAAATTAAAAAAAAAATCTAAAAATAATTTTTGTTAGAGCACCATCGAAATAATTTTGTTCAAAAGTCAAACTGATTGTTAGAATATCAAAATTTTTTACAGCAATGCTTATTATTTTTGAGTTTCCAACAAAATATTTTGATGGTGCTCCAACAAAAATTATTTTCAGAATTTTTTAAATCTTCCAGCAAAATCGTTCTTTTCATGTATGAAAAACTCTTTCCTGTTTTGTGACTCGCAGTCGCACCCGAGAGCTTCCTCAATGTGGAAAAAGGGGAGAGTATACTTTTGATAATCACGACAATCTACGACGCACTCAAAATTGCGCTCCTCTGATGCACGCGTCGATGGCTGACCTGTTTCTGACCGTACTACTTACGTTAAGTAGCAGCGAGATGCTACGAGAGAGAGAGCGAATCTCACTTGCTTCGCTCTTTCTTATTTCTCCCACTTCTTTCGCTCTTTGTCCTCCCTTTTTCTTCCTCCTCTACTTGTTTTCGCGTATCTCGCTTTACTTGCATTATAAATGCGACATTATGTTGTATAATAACGCAGATGCGAAACATTTCCCTGATTATCTTTTCACGCTAACTGCGGAAAGACCAACGCGCATGGCAAATGTTCTGGGCACGAATTTAACAAGCCGCTTAAACAGGATGTGTCGGAATAGTTTATCTTCGCGCGGAAAATCCGTCGGAATTTCTCTTAATTACAAGATAAATTTGAATCTTAAAAAAATAAAATAAACGGAAATGCACATGGAAAGACCGGTTTTTCCTAAAGTAAATATCTAAAAATTTAATTGGATCTGAAAACTATTTTGTTAGACCATCCTACCTAAATAATTACGTAGGAACAAATTGTTTGCTGGAATGTCAAAACTTTTTGCAACATTACCCTGTAATGCTCGAGCGTCATACGTAATTATTTTAATAAACCAACAAAAACTATTTTCAGATCAGTTTTTAGCTTTAAATATAATCAGCGAAATCATTCTCTCTTTAATTAGCATAAACTACTTAAATATATATTGTATGCATAATAAAAATCATTTAAATGTCACTCTGAATATTCTGCAGTCACTTAGTTTATATTACTTCAATTATTTCGCTATTCGCAAGAGATGTCAAGCGCCATCACAAACTTATATACATTTTTTTAATAACGATATAATTTAATTATATAACTGTATAACAGTATAATTTAATTTTATCACTCTATAAAATATGTACAACAGCTTCGGATTAAATTAAAATATGAGAGGCAGTTTATTTAAAATATAAACGTCGAAAATGTTGTAATCGTTAGACGAGCGACGCGCGACAATATTTCGCACAATTCATAACAATCCAGTTTGGGCATTATATACACTTTCAGCGGCAAGAAATAAACACTGAAATAACAGTTAAACGGAGAAATATTGTTACGGGTGCTGTGA